ACATTGTCTTAATCAGTAGCTGTTCTGTGTCTTGTCAAAACTCAGGAAGCTACTCACTAAATTGTTAGCACGTGTTCATACTCTGGAACCAGCTTCATTTTCTGACACATTAGAAATTTTGTGTCCTATTGCTCACTCCTCCCCAAACCCCCTTCCAATTCTTTTCAAAATCTTTTCAGACCCCTATTAACAAACTCCATTCTAAAATGCACTGTTACAACTGGATCATAATCCTTCACACTGGATCATTTATGAGTGCTGACCTGAGTTCAGGAGAGTCACACACAGGCTGAGCACCAGGACTTCAACCACACTGTGCACCTTTGCTCCAGCTACACTGGGGCTACCCCTGTAAGCAGCCTGGGTGCAGGCCAGTCTGAAGTGGCAAGAAGACTGTCTTTTTCCCTCAAATCCCACTGCCCACAATACGCAAATCCTTGTGCTACATGTGTTAGTTACTCAGCACCCTGCATTTTTCAACCAAAACTAGAAAATCTCCACCTAGATAAAGAGGTTTTGCTCAGTGCCCTGCATACTCCTAGCTTGGGCTAGAATCATTGGCAGTGACTTCTATTACCAGTGGTATGTGGGAACAGACTAGAAATGGGAGGTCTTTGGGAACTAGATAACCCTTCACTCTACAGCGATGTAAAACTAAACCCAACTGAATTCTAAAAATAACCATTTTTATAAAACATGCCAGTACTGTCATTTAGTCATTTTCTGTTACTGAGACAGAATACCAACACTTAAAGGAGAGGTTTACTTTGGCTCATGGTTTCAGAGAGTGCAGTCCATGGTTTATTGGCTCCAAGGTAGAAACAGCATGGTAAAAGGGCATTGTAGAGAATATCTGCTCACATCCTGGTGGCCAGAAAGCACAGCAAAAGAGAACAAAGATGGAGGGGGACAGGAGAGGACAGGAGAATATATCCTTTTAGGACACCTGCCCAGTGACCCACCTAGTCTGATCAGGCCCCACTGCCTAACAATCGCATTTAGTCATAACTCATCAATAGATTAATCCATTGATGAGTACAGTGCCCCCATGGTCCAATCACCTACTGAACCCCCACATCTGAATACTTGAGACTTTGGGGGGATATTTTAGATATCTAGACCATAATGAGTACCATGCAGTATTAACAATTCTACTCCAAAGACAACTGAACCTCATTCTAAGGAATAAGCAAGACTACCCCTACAAAAGTTATTCTTCAAAAGTGCTTTTGAGTAGAAAAGTGTTTGGGGTGCACTATTTGGAAACACTCTTTAGAGAACCCTTTTGGAAAGTGAAACATCTCTACTTATTGTAAGCGCTCACCCTTAATGTTACCTACACTCATAAGGTATTATGTCATGAAGGCAGGTTTTGTCAATGGTGATCCCTGAAGAAGGCACACTGTGGAGGGAATCTTTTCCTCTGTCCCCTGGCTTTGTATTCTAGCAGAGAGTAAATGCTCCAAAAATGTTTCCTAAATGAATAACGAAAATAGAAAAGCATTCAGGTGTTTCTTCATTCTGTGCAAGAGCCTTTCTCTAGGTCTTCAAGCTATGCTACTTCAGACATCCCTATACATGTCCACTCCCAGCATGCCAGACACCTGGGCTGGCTGTCCTTATGCCCAGGAAGCCTTTGTGATCTCCTTGCCCTTCGCTTTCCATAGCCATCTCCCTCCCAACCTGCTCTACATCAGAGCAGCTAGTAAGGAAGAAGAAACAGAAGACATTTCAGTGGTTGTTCTCTACTCTGGCCAAAGGTAAGAATAGAAAAGAAGCTCTTGGAAGAAACTACGAAGACTATTTTGAATTCTAAAGCACTCTCCACAGGGTGCAGATTTAAAGTGAATCCATAGGGAACCACATTGGCTGCAGAAGCAGTAGGCTCTTTGGAGCCTTCATAAGGTTTCGAATTATGATCTGGCTCATGACCCACAGAATGGTTCAGGAGAATGAAGAAGGGAGGAGCAGGCCAGAAATTCAGGAGGCAGACCTGCTCATTCAGCACCAGTAGGCAGAGTATGAATTTGTGGTTCAGGTTAAACTAGTGATTTTCAACCAAAGCCAGCCCCTAAGGGACATGTGGCAATATATGGAGACACTTTTGGTTATTACATGGACGGGGTGATACTGGCATCTGATAGATGGATGCCAGGGATGTTACTGGACATGGATGTGCAAAACAGTCCACACAACAAAGAATCACCCAATAGAAAAGGTCAATAGTGGTGAACTTCAGGAACTTTGGACCAAACCAAAGTTATCATCAAGAATCTGTTCTAGTTTATGGCTCAGAAAACACAATGGAAGAACTATGAAAGAGTAAAGCATTCCAGACCAACAGGAAGTCAGTATAAAAAGTTAACAGACACAGGTCACTTCAGAGTTTGGCTCTCCCAGAGGTCAATAGTTCAGGCCACAATTCATCCAAGCTGCAAATATTTACTGAGCAACTACCGAGCACCAGGTGCTTTGGAGGATCTGGACACTTGCAGCTGGTCATTTAAAGAATCTCCAAGAATACTGCCAAGTGATTAAGTCCAGAAACTTGGAATGCAGAATTTGGACATCTTGAACCACTGAGAAGAGGAACTTGCCCCTTCCTACCTACTTGTTTGTAGTTTAATTCCCACACAAACGATCTCTCTCAGACTTCAGGAACTTTAGGGTTTAAAAAAATTCCTTACAAAAAAAATCCTTGCCCAGAGTGAAATGTGTGGCTTTCATTGCTGAGGTTGAGAGTAGTGAGCAGAAGGTGTCTTTGTACTCTTCACAATTGCTTCCTTTATCTGTATCTACTCAAAGAAAGTCCAGACACAAAGAGGACACCCACGAGTAATTGGTCAGTCAAATGACTTCTGCTGTTACGCTACACACAGGCAGCTGGCATCCCTATGACATAGCCTGCAAATTCATGGTAAATCTTCTGGCAGCTTCTACAGTTGAGATGCAGGTAAGTCAGTGTGAAGGATAACTGAAAGATGGCATAACAATGTCAAGGATGAGGCTTGGAGCCTTCTGTACTTCTGCCGGAAGTTTTATCATCATCATCTCTTCCAGTCTGTGCAAATTATTAAACAACAAATCAAGTATCTAACTGATACCTACAGATGGATGAGCTTCTGTGTTATTATTTTTTTAGTTGGGTAAAGATGGCAAAGTGCTGCCCTAAAACCTTTCCTGATGAATAAAACATCAGTGTCTCTAAATTTAAATTTAAAACGCAATTAATTCATCAAAATGTCAGTTGTCACCTAAAGCATTTTAGTAGCAAGCAAATACCTTGGAATAACGAATGTTCACAGGACTACAGCGTGGAGTGAGCTGATTTTAGTCATCATTCAGGAACCACCATAGCCTCATCTGCTGGTATTTACTCCTTCAGTGGAGCCTCAGGGAGGGTATTTGAGAACACTATGGATGGCACAAGACTTACTTTCTATCTGGCCTCTCCTTGGTCTTAATTATAAAGCATATTTTACCAAACATAATCATCACCCTCACAAGCTGCTCACCAGCCCCTGAAGTCATAAACTGTGGTCATCATTTCCATGGAGCACACCGAGCCAGGCACAAATGGAATAATAAAGAGCTACCTTATTATGACTTCAGGGGTCAAGAAGATGACTCTGTGAAGGCTATAATCTGTATCACTGTCTTCAGTTATAAAGCAAGCAGAGAATGGAAATAAGAATCAGAAAATTTCTATTTTCTAAAAGAAATTTTAAAACAAATAAAAATTGAGCACCCTCTCCACACCCATAAAAAATAGTTTCTAATAGGTTTCAATTATTGTTATCCAATAGCCCGTGTTCTACAGCCAAAAACTTGGTCCCTTGACCTGCCTCTGCAATCTGAAGCAAGTAAATTATCAATAATTTTAGCAGCAAATCAGGAGACACAGATCATTATAAAGGTTTACACTGAGTTAAATGCAATCATCACAGTCCTTTAAAGACAAGGAAAGCAAGGAAATTAAATATTTAAATCCCACATTTGCTCCCACAAATAACATAAAACCATCAAATTCACTGCTTAATAGATTGCTGACCTTTGGCTCAGACTTGAAGGTTTTAGGAATAATCTAAAGATAAACATATTTTTAGTGATGATTGTGATTAAATTACGAAAGCCTGATATTTTTATGTAAAAACCAACAACTTCAAGCAATAAGGTAAAAAAAGAAATTCCCAAATCACCAAGCCATTAGTCAGATCTTTTATTCACAAATAAATGAGTCATGGGCATTGCTTACACTGACTGAGGGCCTAAAAACAATGTTTGGCTCTGTTCAACTACAGGAATGAGACCACCTAACTATAGTTATATACAGTTCATTGTAGCCAGCATCTCTCTTTCAACCTAAGCAAACGTCTAGGAGTGGTCCTAGTCACACAGGTAATATTTGTTAATTAATCATAGCAGATTCAAAGCCATCAGCTGAAGCCCACTGCCAGAAGAAAGTGTGGTATATTCCAAGTGCTCACCTTACCACCACTAGTGCTAGCACCTAAAAAGATCCACACACAACCTCCCCACGGATGCAAAGTGAAGTTACCAGGGCTCAGGAAACGCCCAGAAGAGTTAAAATCTGCCTAAGTCTGCATCCTCCAAACATCCGGTTGAGCTGACCCAGAGCCCAGAACACTCTCTGATCCCGAGAAAGCTGAGCAGCCCGAGGCGCTTTGATTCCCTGCAGCGGTTAAGTTCTCCAGGTTAGCTACACCAAGGTGCCCTCCATATTGCAACACCTCCAGAGCAAGGGGAAGAGGACACCGAGGACCGCGTGGGCGTTGGAGGGGCATCGAGAACGGGGCGGGGGTGGCAAGGTCCGGGAGAACTATCTCCGGCCCTTGTTCAAAGCTGCCAATCGGCAGACAGGGCGCAAATGGGTGCTGGACGTTGCTGCTTGAGCTTCTTAACCCGGCTCCTGTGACTGGGGCGGCCAGCGACAACACCAGCGGGCAGGGATATGACGTCGGGGGAGGAGGGGGGCTTACTTTTGTAGCTCGCTGCCCAGGGTTGGTAGCCATAGTAGCCAGTGATGCGCAGAATCCGCTCTTCGATGGACGTGAGCCCCACGGGCCCGCTGGTGAGGTCTTCCACCGAGCGCGACCATTTCAGGTCCTCTTTGATCGCCTCGTCCACCACCAAGTACTTAAGCTGCCGAAGCTGGGGGCTGATGTCTGACAGTCTCCGGGGGCTGACGTCCGGTGACCTCCTCATGCCACTGGGGCCGCAGGCGCCGGGGCAGGCGGGGAGGGGGTCAAGGGCAGAGAGGGGCATTTCGGTGAGGCACAAGGCTCTCGGTGAGCTGGGCGCAGCCGGGGCCGGGGCTTCCCTCGCGGGCGCCGCAGAGCCGGGCTGCCCCTCGCCGCCCCCCGCACGCCCTCCGAGCCAGGCGTCGCGTCCCGTGTCCCCTCTCCCGCGCCTCCGCTGGGCTCCTCGGGCGATGCAGATTGGGGCGAGTGGAGAGAGAAGGCGCCTTAAACTTCACGAGCAGCTCACGCTGCCCTCCTGGACCCCGGACCGCCCGGTCTCGGTCGCGGCGGGCCCTCGCCGCCCCCTCTCGTCCCCGCTCCCGGGGCGCTACTCACATGGCGATGCTCTTGCCCCTGGGCGCGCCGCCGGGAAACTCTCGGATCCCCATAGGCAGCGGCTGAATGGGGCTGGGAGCGCCCAGACTTGAGACGGAGGGACCGCGGGCCCGAGCTCCCCGCAGCCGCCGGCCCGGGCGAGGGCGCGCTGCCCGCCCAGAGTTCGCCCGAGCGCACCTCGGCGAGTCCCCAGCGGGTCCCCAGCGCCTACGCGTCGCGAGTGCAGCCCAGCCGGGTGACCCCAGGCCGGCCCGCCGCACCTACTGCAGGACCAACCACGGAGCGGCGCCGCGCCCCTCGCCTGTCGCCGCCGCCGCCCTCGCACGGCGCGGTCGCGGGCGCCCGGAGTCGGGAGAGCGCGCCCAACCCTGCGCTCCGGAACCACCTGGGCAGGCGGGCGGGAGGCGCCCGGCCGGCCCTCACCGGCCGGGAGGGGGCGCTGCACCCCGTTCCCCGCTCAGGTGCGAGTCAGGGTGCTCCGCAGCCGGCCAGGCGCCCACGCTCCGCCCTGCAACCTTGGCGCTTGTGACGAACCCGTCAGCCCTAGGCAGGACCTGACATCCTCCCGCCTGGGGACTCGATGCTTCAGTCCCTTCCTTTTTATACCCTTTACCCCGCCCCACCTTTACAAGGAGCACAATTGCATGGAAAAAGAAGACCTAGTTCCGTGCACAGATCGCCAGATAAATAAACAGCACTTCCTAGGCGAAGCTGAGACCCAGGAGCAGCGCACAGATGTGCTAGCCTGGGGATCTGTCAATCAGACCTGCACCTCAGAGGATGCGCTCTCTGGTGAGGCCGTTCTCACCAGTTTACTCTTCTTCGATTCCATTCCCACTTTACATATTTAATGGTCATTTGTTTCTTCTTTGCACGGTCTGCCAGACATTCTCTCTTAACTAAAAACCTTTCACGATATTTTTTCATTGGAGCAAATTTAGAAAATACGTAAAGAAACTACCAATAATCCACCAAAGATGACTACAGTGCTTTTGAATTATAAATGTATTATAGGTCAGTCTTTTTTTTCCAATGCAAAGTACCTTTTTTTCATAACACCAGTATCTAATTGTACTTGTTAATCTATATATATTGCCTTTGTATAAAAATATTGCTCCTCACCAGACGTGGAGGTGCACTCCTATAATCCCAGCACTCTGAGTCTGAGGCAGAGTGAGTCTGAGGCAGGAGGGTTGCCATGAGTTCGAGGCCAGTTTGAGCTACATAATGAGTTCAGAACCACTCTGAATTATATGATAAGACCCTATCTCAAAAAAAAGTATGTATACATTGTTCTTCATCAAACTACAATAGAGCAGAAATTCCTCAACTTCATAAAAGCATTAGCAAAACCGAAAATTTACATCACAATTAATGGTGAGAAACTAAGGGCCTTCCAGCTCAGATCAGGAGCAATGGAAGGAGGATGTCTGTTGCCAGCACTCCTTTCCAACACCCTATTGGAAGTCCCAGTTCATAAAATTACTTTTAAAATTTTTTATCAATACATATTTGCAACTTAATAACACTCTTAATACTTACTACTTGCCCCATCCCTGCTTTCCCCCTCCCCACTCCTCTAGTTAATGAGATTAGACAAGAAATGGAATAAAAACTGCCCAATGTGAAGGAAGAAGTAAAAGAAAAACTAAACTGTCCTTGTTTGCAGATGACATGATTGTATATGTAGAGTATTTCAAAGGATTGATCAAAAACCTTTCTGAAACTCCTAAGAAATCACAGTAAAATTGAAGAACATAGGCTGCTGCACAGAAATCAGCTGCCTATCAATATGCCAGCAATAACTATTTGGAAATTTCAATAAAAATATAGAAATATTTATGTTAGCACTTCTGAAAAATGAAATAGGTATAAATCTAACAAAGATACATAAAATACCTTTTTGAGAAAAACTGTACAATTCCAGTGGAAGAAATCAATGGAGGGGTAGTCCATATTCATGAACAGAAAGACAAAATATTATTAAGATGTCAGTTCCTAATTCTGTCAATAGAGTCAATGTATCTCCATCATGTGTAGGTTCCCCAAGGCACAGTAGAATGCCCATGATTGACAACAACTAACTGGATATTTCAAAATAGCTATAAGAAAGGATTTTGAATGTTCCCAATATAAAGAGATAATTCATATCTTTATCATCAGATGGGGCACATTCCAGTTATTCTACCTAATGATCACACATTGCAGACATGCACTAAGAAGTCACACTCCATCCATTAATATTTAGGAGTATTGTGTCAATTTAAATTTTTTTATAACTTCAAAATAGAACAGGTTTACGTGGAATGGCAAAAGGAGTAAAACAGTCTGAGCACTGACACTCTCTTATCTGAAGACTCCGTGTAACAACTGTAACCAAGGGAGATGGTATTGGTGAAAGAAAAGGCATATGGAGTAATAGCATCAAATATAGAGCCACAAGTAGATTTACACAAGCAGCCAAGTGATCTTTGATAAAAAAGCAAAGGAGATTTCATGGAGGAAATACAGCCTTTCCCACAAAAGGTGCCGAAACAGCTAGAAACCTACATGCAAATAAATAAATAAATACTCCTGCAGGCTTCCTACTTCATAAAAATTAAATCAAAATACATCATAGTCCTAAATGTAAAATATAAAACCCTCAAAATAGAAACAACAGAAAAATCTATATCATATTTGTCAATGGCATTTTGATACAATAACAATGGCATAATTCATGAAAAAACATGATGAAGTTTAAAAACATTAAAATTAGGGGTTTCTGTCCTGTAAAATACACTGACAGGGCAATAGGAAGACAAGCCAAAATCTGGCAGAAAATATTTGCAGAAGATGTATCTTATAGAGGACTATTATTCTAAATAAGAGCTCTTAAAACTCTATAATGAGAAAATGAACAATTCTAAACAATTTGCAAACTATCTATCTGAACAGGCCCATCGCTAAAGATGATATACAAAGATAAACATATGGAGAGAGTTGCAGCTTAAGACAATAAAAGTACATCAGTGCATGCTTTTTAAAGTGAATTAAATCCAAACACTGAAACACCAATCCAGCCAGGATGTGGACAAACAGGAACGCTCACTCACTGCTGGTGAGAAAGTAGCACGGAGCAGCCACTTTGGAAGTCAGCTTGGAAGCTTCTCACGAAATGACTCATACTCACCATATTACCCAGCAATCACGCTCCTTGATATTCTCCAAATGAGTTGAAAACTTAAGTCTGCACAAAAATCAGCAAATACCATATGTGTAATAATTTTAATAATAGCCAAACTGCAGTGCATCTATACAATGGGACATTATTCGACCCTAGATGAAATGGACTACCTAGCCATGAAAAGAAATGTAGAAAATTTAAATGCATAACACTAAGTAAAAGAAGCCAACATAAAAGACTACATTCTATGATTCCACCCATGACATGCCAGAAGAGGCAAAACTATGAAGACAGTAAGAGATCCGTGGGTTGTCGTGGGTTAGTGAGGAGGGAAAGATGAATACTGGGGCTGGTGGGGGGTTTAGGACAGTGAAACAACTCTGTAAGATACTGCTGTGGTGGATACACATCATTATGTTTGTCAGAACCAGCAGAATTACAACACACAGAGCAAACCTTAATGTAAACTGTGGATTCATAACGAAGAATCAGTGCAGGTTCACCAGTTGGAATGAATGTTCCACTCTGGTGCAAGATGTTGATGGTAGGGAGCACCTGAGCGTGTATTTAGGAACTTTTTACATGATCCTTTCAAAGTTGCTGCAAACCTAAAATTACTCTAAAACTAAAAGTATGTTAAATAATGACGTTAGTGTTTTCCAGTGTCATTGTATTCTTAAAATGTTTTTCCAAAGCTTTATTAAGGAATAATTAGTAAAAAAAATTTTAAGTATTTATAGTGTAGCATGCAGTATTTCATGAACATATATATTGAGAAATGATGAAACTGAACTAATGTACACATTCAACACCTCATATACTTATTACTGGGTGATGAAAATACTTAATATTTACTGCTAAGCTATTTTCTAGTTTACAGGACACAGTCATTAACTATTGTCACCATGTTGTTCAGTAGGCTACAGATCTTACTCAGCCTAACTGAAACTTTGTGCTGTTTGACAAGGATCTTACAATTCTTCCCCCAATCTTCACCCAATGGCAATCACCATTCTAGTCTCTGTATCTGTGAGTTTAATTTTTTGAAGATTAAGTGAGATAATGCAGAATTTGTCAGTCACAACTTCTCACATATTTGCACATATAATAATTTTTATTACATTCATTTTTATTTGAAACACTGTAAAGACTTTTTTTTTTTGTCTTTTTCCTTTTTATTGGTACCAGGGATCGAACTCACGACTGCCTGCTTGCAAGGCAGGCGCTTATGCCGCTGAACTAAATCCCCAGCCCCAAGACTTCAGATATCCTTCATTAGAGGTTTTCCTCTTCTGTTAAGCAGATAGTGGAAGAAATGGATTGCTGTAATCCAATCAGAGACTAAACTAGTTTGGTGGTTGGTTGCAGTTTTAATAAGATTCTGCTACTATTTTGTTTTTCCCTCTAGGGTGTAGTTCTCCCAGGCATTTGATTCAGGAAATCATCTCTGCTCTTTAAAGATTCCCAGGCCAGGTCTCTAACAACCTACTCTCAGTGTGAAAAATGCATTTACGTCCTGAGAGTTACAGACTTCACTGTGTGTGCCTCTATTGCTTCACCCCCACGATACATCCGCATTTCTTCTGCCTTGAGAAGCTTTATTCTAGGCCCCAGCTTCTGTAATGGAATCTCAGAACTTAGTAAATGTTCCCTAGGGGAAAACAGGGCTCTTCAAGTTTAAAGTTTGCTCCCTTGTTCTGCTCAATCACTTGAGCCTTGGTTTATTTTACTCGTTAGCCGAGACCCTCTTCCAGAGCCATATTCAATCTTTAGCTTGCTCTAAGAATTGGCAAGTATCTCCAGGTAGAAGGCCAGCAAGCAAAATATTGTTGATGACTATCAGCTCACTTTAAAACAGTTTTAACTTCTCTAGAATATAAATTCACCTGTGTGCCCCTTCCACAGCTCTCCGCTACATTTAAGAACATTGTTTCCTGGGTGTGCTTGTTGTGTCAGTAAAAATGTTGGTCTGCTAAAATTTGTTGGAGGTAGATGTCTTC